TTAGTAAGAGATACACACTCATTTGCTTGTACTCTGCTGACAATCTCATTATTGCTATGGGGAAAAAAAAGAAAAAAAAAAAGATCTCTGCTTCCAAACTCTAATTTAATCACGTAAAATAATATATTAAATGAAAGATCCAAAACAGATAGCACCAAAGAAGGATAATAGTACTCTGCATTTCATCTCACCACTGAAAATGAAAAGGCAAACACCTAGCAGGTGTTATCTCATTGGTAAATGTTAAAACAGAGTGAGAATCCTACTTTCATTAAAAGGAAAACAATAAACACACTGATAAAGAGTTGAGCAATTGGCTGTGGATTCTATCAGTAGACGACCTGAATATGTTGCTTTCTTTATCTTTCTGGAGATTCAGCACACTGCTGTGCATAAAATCATTGTGTCCGTGATGAGTGAAGAGTGCAATCTCCAACTCAAATTTTATGGGGAATTTAGGTAGGTGGTATCTAATCAGTCAGGAAGAAATTCAGACAGAAGATCCCTATCTTGCAAAAAGTACTGCAGGACTGTTGGAGAGAATGTGCTGTCACGACTTGTTATATAATTCATGCTAAAGAAAGCGCAGCCAGGAGCACGACCGTAACAGGCCGCTAGCTTGGAACTGAGTCATATCTCCTCCCGAATCGCCCTCTTCATTTTCTGCCAGACACAAGTCTTTTATACACATGTCCATCAAAGGGCTACTTCTATGTGATGGAGTGTGATTTAATTTGCATATAACATGATTTTATTTAGTGATCTCATGTTATAAAAAACAAGCAAGGCTCATAATACATTAAAAAAAATACTGCTTTCTGAAATAACAAGTAAAATCGTGAGCCTTTCATGGAGCCCAAAGTAAGGCCAATGTCTATTAAAATTTAAGACCATAACAAAAGCAGGGAGTTTAAAAGCAGGGGCTTTCACTGTTAAAACCTCAGATATCAGAGATGAGGAACTACTTGCATATTTTCTAAGTGTTAGAAGATGTAGGCTTCTGTTCCAGCCTGCATTCGTAAATGGGAATGACAATGTTATACATTGGTAATGAGGGGCAATGCAGACGGGTGGTGGAAATCAGCGCTGGAGCTGCCTGGCCTTGCCTGGGCTTTTAGTGCTGGTTTAGTAGATGTGGTTCTCTCTCCACCCTCCATGTAGTTCTTCCTTTTGCAAAAGAGCCTTTTTTATTTTTTTAAATAAACATCCCAAGGATTACGGAGCACATTTATTATTCAGATGGTTCATTTATTAAGGATAAATAATTTAAATATATTTTCTTCTGTTTAGTTAACACATTAGCAGTTGCAGCATATGTGGAAAGCAATGTTTGTATTTAAACTCATTTCTCGGGCTGTTTGTTCTATTCTACTTGATAGCCACCTTACTTATTTATGAAAAGCTACTGACCTGAGTATGTCTGTAGAGAAATGCCTGCAAACTTCCAGAGAAGCAGCAGAACCCATGGCAGCAATAGCATAACGCTGCAGCTTTTCGTTCAGTTCCACTGACATTTGAGGAGAGTTTGAACCCATGGAGCAAAAGCACAATCAGGAAGACCCTAGGCCTAGTTTGAACTTGCTGTAAAGAAAAAATTACATCAGTGTCATTGCTGCAGAGTTTGGTGCATGCAGAAAGCGTTACTTTATATGAGTAGCAGAAACAAATCCTACTTCCATTCTGTCACAAAAGTGGATGCTTATTATTTCTCTATGCTGCAATTGCAAAACCAGACTTTTAAGTATTGTATTAAAATGCATACTCCATAATGCTATATTTTAAAATCTATTTTCTCCTTTAAAACAGTGTGTATGCTGCCCTTCCCATCTCTCCTCTCCCTGTGTTTTCCCAACAGGAAAACATATTGCCATTTTTGTTAGTAATAAATAAGCTTTTCATAAGTGTAATCAAATCTAGATTCCTGTGGGTTGTTTATTTATTTACTTTTAACTATAGATTAGGTTTAACACTGTTTAAATCATGGCTTTAGGCACCCAGTGAGATTGTGTGCTTCCCCATTCTGATGTTATGCAAACACAGAGCAATGTCCTAAAATGAAGCAACAAAAAACAGTCAAACCTAAGACCCTGCTCCTATAAGGAACACTACAGCGGGGCTTGCAATAGGATCTGAGCTGTGTATATTTATGCACTGAAATCACAGGCCAGAATGGCAAGGTGACTTTTATAATGTTGAAAAAGAATCTTCTTTCAAGATTTTTTATTTCTGATGCTTTCATTTTTTTTTTTTTTTAATTAACAGCCTTACAATGAAATTAACAGCCTTACCCATAACAATACAGCAATACCACTTTGTACCTGAATGTTACTTAAATATTTCTCCTAAGCTGTCACTTCCTCATTACTTAGAATAACCGATATTCACCATGATGCTACTGACTTTTATTTAGAAAATGCGATCATCATGATGGTGAAAGACTCCTGCTAGATGTCCTGGTAATGAGATAGGATTGACCCTGACCTTGGAGCTACTCTGGTTCCTTCAGCAAACTGTCTCTTGGGGTGAAATCCTTTCCTCCAGCAGTATCTTGAATCCACACGGGAGAAATTATGATAAAAATAATCTTTACACCTCCAGACTGAAATGGATCTTTCTGATTGACTGCCTCTGATGCCAGGTCTGTGTCAATAATTCTCAGTGAATGCATGACTACGACCTTTTCCCCTTTGTTTTATAATTTCTATTTTACAAGACCAATAAAGCATGTCAGAACAAAGTGAGTTTTTGCACTTATAGGTGCAGGCTCTTGATTTTCAGAGGTGGTGTGAATGTGAACAGATGCATCTCAGGTCAGAGGTAACCCTTCAGTAGTGTCCTGTTTAGGATTAAATGACACATTTTCCTACACACAAATATAGATAGTGTCACAAATTCATATAAGCAAGAATTGAAAGGCACACTCCTTCAAGTGCACAATGATTAGACAGAAAGAGCAGAATGAACAGAGGATTTCCTACTTGACCTTTTGCTTTTTAAAGCCCTGGTAAAGGCAGTAGGAGTTAATGGACAGACCTGGTTGCAGAGCAGCATAAAGTGCAAGCCTTAATGGCAATGGTTTACTTCAAGCTTTTGCATAGTGCTATACCATCATCATTTCTAATTATTTCTATCCATCTGCCTCCATCACTGGTATATGACACCACAAGATGACCGTGCAGCTCCCAGGCTGTCACTGCAATAAGGCAGTGCAAGGTAAAGAGAACAACGTCAGTTGGGTACCAGATCTGAAATAGTTTTTGACTCTGATGCCAATATGATGATATCTATGGGTGAAACCTCCTCATCTTTTGTCTTCAGCTCCCTGCCTGAGGAATGGGGCAGCACTTGTCCCTTCTCATTACAGTTATCTGTTCCGCTTATTTGGACTCTAAGTTGCCTGACAAAAGAGATGTCATCTTGTACAGCATCTACTTTGCAAAGCTGCTGTCCAGGTATCACCACCAAATCAATTATAATAAAGACTAATAGACCAATATTTAAAGAGGATTACTAACCAATTTAACTTCCTCTAAGTCTTGCTGTTTCTTTGTTTCTGTGTTTAGACTTACATTGATGTGTTAATCCATAGGTCATATGTCTAACTTTTCAGCAAGTGGGATGTTGTATTACAGACTTCTGGTGCTGCTTGCAACATATATATTTATTGAGTTAACAAACCAAAATCCTAAAGATTTTAAAGTTCCATCTATGGCTTTGCAATTTTTGTCAGTCTGCTATAAATGCGGACAATTGTGGCCGGGCCCACATGGATTTACCCTCTGATTTCCACTCTTGTTGGTAGCTAAACCTGCCAGCACTGCATTTAACAATTCCCTCCAGGTGTGTGAGCTCAGCACCACTGGGCTCAGGCAGGAAGCGAGCTGCAGCGTGCAGGGCAGGTCTCCCAGGCCTGGCAGCAGCGCACTGCCACAAGCCCACTGGGAAGCAGGATCCGGCCTTGCGCCACGACCCGAAGGCACTACTGAGCTGTTTGCAGGAGCCCCCAGTTGTTATCTGACACAGGTAATGCAGTGGGGATGGAGGGGCCACCTCTTTACCGATAGGTGTGACTTGTAACAAACACATTCCTCTTGGAAAAAAAAAAAACACTCTGAAAAATACAAGAAACAAGTGGATGCAAGCAAAAATTGTTCCCTGCATAGCTGGCTCATATGCCAAATTATTTCACTGCTGACTTTCCCTCATTTTCCTCTGTGCCTGTTCTGTTCCACCTTACAAGAGACTACAAGAGAGCCGTTTACTAATTAGGGAGCAAGCAAAACGGGCATTAGAAGTTTATCGTGACCGGTGTAACTTGGAGAGTCTTTGTCTGGGTGAAGTGGAGCAGAAAACGTGCATTCCCAGTGTGGGAACGGGGCCGGAGAGGGCCTGGGATCCTGCAGCCGTGCCCCAAAGCCCTGCTGCTCACCGTGCGGGTGGGAGCCGGGAACCCAGCTCCAGCTCCGCAGCGTGCCCCGCACGTAGTGCGCGAGCGAGGGGCGATGCGAGGGGTTAACGGCAAAGCCCCCAGCCCCTCTGCTCTTCGCAGTGAGCGCGGTGCCTTCTGTGCAAGCGCTGCCCGGGCACGGCTCGGCTGGCCCCGTGCAGGAGGGCTCCCAGCACCGGCTCCCAGCGCCCGCTCGGTGCCGCTCCGCTCCCCGGCCAACCCCTCCTTGGGGCAGCCCCGCAGGGCGGCGCTGCCTCCCCAGTCCTAAACCCGAGCCCGGGGCCCTGCGCTTCCACCTCCTCCCCCCCGGCTGCCCCCGCTGCGGCTCCGTGCCCAGGTGCTGCCCCTTCCCTTCCCTTCCCTTCCCTTCCCTTCCCTTCCCTTCCCTTCCCTTCCCTTCCCTTCCCTTCCCTTCCCTTCCCTTCCCTTCCCTTCCCTTCCCTTCCCTTCCCTTCCCTTCCCTTCCCTTCCCTTCCCTTCCCTTCCCTTCCCTTCCCATCCTCGGGGCCGGGCGGGCGGCGGCGCTGCCCCCTGGGCGGCCGAGCCCGGAGCCCCCCCTCGCCCCCCGCTCATGAATATTCACCGCTCCCCTCCCCGTGACGTCGCCGCGGTCCCGGGGCGGGGGCCGGAGCCGCCCCGGTACCGGCCGTGAGTGAGGGCGGATGAGGGAGCGGCGGCGGCAGCCCCGGCCCCAGCCCCAGCCCCAGCCGCAGCCGGGAGCCGCCGCGCAGGGCGGGCAGGACGCGGGCAGGGCCGGCGCCGCGGCGGGGATGCGGCGGCGCTGCTGGGGACCGGCGGCGCTGCTGCCGCTGCCGCCGCTGCTGCTGCTGCTGCTGCTGCTGCTGCTGCCGGGGCTGTGCAGCCCGCTCGCCGCCAAAGGCAGGTAGCGGGGAGGGGGTGTGTGTGTGTGGGGGGGGGCAGCTCCTCGCCTGCAACTTTCCCTGGGGGGCACGGCACGGGACGGGACGGGACGGAACAGGGGAGCGGGGGTGCCGCTGGAGCCGAGCATCCCCGAGCATCCAGCCCAAGCCGTGCCTGGGGAAGCGCTGCCCCCGGCAGCCCGCAGCCCCCTCGGTGTCCTCCTGTGGCCCCGCGGCTCCGGGCCGAGCCCCGAGGCGGAGTTGGAGAGCTGCGCTCCTGCTGCCCAGCCCCGGCACCCCGTCCCCTCCTGCTGCCGTCCGCGAGTTGTCGGCTCCTTCTCCTCCTCGCGTGTATCGGGAAAACTTCGTACCCGGTGCCGTCGTGTGGCTTTTTTTTTTTTTTTTCTTGCTTTTTTTTTTTTTCCTTCCCCTTTTGCCTTGTTTGCCCTCTTACAACCACCGCGCGCATCCCAGCTCGGAGAGCCGCCTGCCCCTGCCCCTGCCCCTGCCCCTGCCCTGCCCGCTGCCGAGCACGGAGCTGCTGGGGGGCAGCGCCCCGGCCCTCACCGCCCCCACGGACCGTGCCCGCAGCTCGGGGCGGCGTCTGCCGAAGTTGCAGGTAGTCCGGCAGGCACATCCGAGTTGGGTTGGTTGCTGTTAGTGGTTTGTTTGTTTGTTTATTGGCTTGGGTTTTACCTTGTGTTTGACCACTGGAGGGCTGCAAAGAGCAATTCCGATAGCAATTCCGAAATCGGTCTTCAGAAACCGACGTTTGAAGGGTATTGGTATTTAAGCGTTTTAAGTTTTCCCTTATTATTTTACATCCGTTTCCCCTTTCATTTCTTGTTTTTGTTTGTAGTCAAGTATCCTCAGCCTGTACTGCGGGGTTAATAGGCGAACTGACACACCTTAGCGCTGTGTGCAGTCGATGTCTGATCTGTTTGCACCTGTGGACTCCTTCTCCCACCTTGTCAGTACTGTATAGGAAAAAGAGTTCGCATCGATGAGGTGATGCTGCCTTCTGCTTGCTCTGTGTTATTTTGCTGTAGGAGGAAAATGTTAATTCCCTAGGCATTTTGTGGGTATTTCACGAGGCTGAATAACTTGGTGCTGTAACTGCAGCTGACTTGTAGCTTGGAGGCGTTGCGTTCTGGTCGGCGGTGGGGTGCGATGAGCACAGTGGTGCCTCCAGCATCCTGCTTCAGGGGGTGGATGGATGATCCCAGGTAATGACTGCAAGTCTTCTCCCATCTCCCTGTCGCTGCTACTGCTTGATTTTAAAACAAACCCAAACCCAACAGGCGTCCCTGCTGCCCCCCTTAATTCCTCCCCTGCTGTTTTTGAGGCTGGGGAGCAAGATCATGGGGACCTGGAGAAGGGTTCTCACCATTCACCACTCTTGCTCAATGAAAAATAATAATTTATTTCACACACAAAAATAATCTAGACTGTGTATTTAAATATATATATATATATTCCCCATTAGGAGGAAAAAACAAGACTGAAATTTTGTGTGGAAATATAAGAGAGAGTGCCAGAATGGTTAGTAGGCACTCAGTTAGGGATCTTAACCTGTGTATTAAATATTCACGTGCAATTTGTAGCACTGTTAGCTTTCTGGCAGGTTGTTGACCCTGGGATCTGTACCATAAGTTCAATAAAATCACTGTTTTAGGCAGGAAAAAATGATTTCTTTAAAATATTTTCAGACAGCTTTGTTTGGTAATACAGAGACACACTTCCTGGATTATTGGAATTGCATTAATGCTGTCTGGGGATTGTGGACAGACTCTCATATGTAAAACAGAATCTGCTGAAAGGCAGGACTTCGTTATTTTTTACAGCACTTTCAGAATTCATAGGTTGCAGGCAGGGAGAGCTACTACCTGCTGCATTTTCCTTCCTTTCTGTCTCTCTGCAGGTCTGTGCATAAGGCTGATCTCTTAAATGACTTACTGCCTCATCCTAGTGTTTACCTATTACCTAGTACCTTATTAAACTGTTCAGTGAAGTCCTGAAAAGGTTGACATATCCACACTTGTAAGACCCAATTAGTTGGCCTTTCAAGTCTGACTTTATTTGAACTTCATCATTAACATAAACATCATTTTAATCTTGATTTTTAAGTACAGCAGAAAGTATCTCAATGATCAGAGTAACTAAGAATATTTGATACCAATTAAATTAATTACATGGGCAAAACTTGAAGCCTTAGTCATTCAGGACATTTCCAAATCAATGGAATATTCAGTCCCACTTGGCAAATCTATTATGTGAATACAGCTGATATGACTATCAGCAGTAGAAAAACAACTAACCCACGGAGACAGAGACAGCTTACTCTGCTTAAAAGAAAGCTTAAAGCCTTGAGGGGAAGAAATTAAGAGAAAATCTTTGAGAGCATGCTAGACAGATCCTAATGTCTGATTTTTTCTTCTTAATACCATGGGTACTGGCAAATCTTTTTTTTTTCTTTTTTTCTTTTTTTTTTTCCCACAGTAAATAATAATGAAATACTTCATCAGCTCAAAGGAGAGAGATACAAAAAGTAATATCTTCCTTTTCATCGTCATCCAAAACACTGAAGTAATAATGTTTGGCACACTGTTTAGGCCAGAAGATGGGAGATGAAGAAACCTTGCTTTCTGTAGCTCACCAAGAAACCCTGCCACAGATGTATATGATTTCACATTTCCATTTTCAAATCAATAAATGGAGATAGGAATACTTTTTTTTTTTTTTTTTTTAAGTGTTTTGATTGAAAAAGTACTCATGAAAACTGACTCTTTTGTCTCCTAGGATAAAAGATTCATCTGATTGAAGCCTGGGTGTCAAGATAATGAAATGATTCAGAGGTCTCAAAAGACAAAGATTGGAGTATTTGATAACTGCTTTAGTAGTTAGGTATTTCAGCATAGATGACTGACAACTATATTTAAGTTGTCATTATCAAGACAAAGAGTGTTTGTCAGCCATAATCATATTGTTACCATTTTTAATTGCGTTATTTGGAAGACTAACAAAGCTGAGAACCTAGAAGCTTCAGAGTTTTCAAAGCATATTTCAATTGTAAGCAAAGTATGTGTCACTTCAAAAATCCCTGAGAAAGTATGTCCTTTGTCAGCAAACATTAAATGGCCTCAGAGCAGTGTGGAGTCATGGTTTTGTCACTTGGCTTTTCTTGAAGTGACAGCCCTCAGAGTTCAAAGGCAGTGTCTGTACCTGGACAGCCCCTGTCGTGGCCAAATTGCACGTTTGAAAGCGGCCTCGGTTTTCTTTCTGTGCCTTTTATAGATTTGGAGGAGCTGATTAGAGGTTGTCAGAGGCATTGTCGTCCTGTTTTGATTGTTTACAGTTTAACTGGAGGAATGTATTGATGATGTGGTGTTCCTGGGCATCCATTAGGCAATGAAAAGGCAGAGCGCAAATTACTAGTTCTATGTAGTTATAGTTCTTTTTTTTATTTTTTTTTTTATGAAACATGTTATTCTTAGGGCTCTGAAAATAAAAATTCATGAAGCTGTTATTTAATGTCTAGTAAAAAAGTGTAAAATTTCTCATATGCTTTTTTTAATGTAATTTCCTGTGTCAGATTGATGGGATGTTTGGGGAAAGTAATTTCAAAGGTCTTATTCCAGCTTCAAATACATTTCCTATCCTCCCTTCATATATATACTATTGGCCTTCTTTTGGTCCTAGTGTTGGCTTAGTTGCCTCAAAATGATTTACTTATTTCTTTGGTTTCCAAGAAGGCTGTATTAGAAGGCAGAAAATAGCTTGCCTGGCTCCTATAGAGTGTCTGAGTGGTGTATCTAGCACTTCATTTAGTACAGAGAGCTTCCCTACTGTGAAATAAGTAATGGGAAAATGAAAGACAAAATGCATTGTTTCTATAGCAAGCTAATTGCTAATGTCAAGTGTAGTTCTGTTGTCTGTAACCTTTTTTTAGCAAGAATGGCAAATAATTGAGTCCTAACTTTCATAACGTGATTGATGTTACTTACTGTTGCAATAGTGTAATTTTAAAAGACAAGTGGTAAAACTGAATAGCAGTGAGATTTGGCCTGACTCAAATTTATGGTTTGTTTGTCTGTGGAGAGCAGTGTAAACGAAGTGGAGCTGTTCTCCGAGACTCTACTTCAGCATGCTGCTCATAAAGAGCAGTCTGAAAATAGCAGCTGCTGGGTTCGTTGGGTAGGGGATACATACCAAGTGGTCTTACCTCTGGCTTTTCCAGTGATCATGCTCAAACGGCATCTTCTCAGTCTCTGAAATGTCTTGGCTTGTTTGATTTATCTAAAAAATAAGTAAAATATTCAAACACAACCAGAAGGCACCATCAGTTTTAACAGGATACTTTAGAGGATGGTAACGGAGTTAGAAGATATGCTCCTTATTCAAGATTTAGCCCTAGAAATATTTAGTTTGGGTATCGCTGTTTGAATAGAATCTGAACCAGCGGAGGAGATTTCAACAGAAAACTGCAAGGCTAAGTCTAGAAAAAGTGACCTGACATGCTGAAGGAATTCTGTTTAGCTGAATGAAAAAGAATTGAGGAATGTGCAGACAGGCTTCAGGTATGTAAAAAGCTGCTTTATATAAGAGGAAATCATGTTCTCTGTGCTTGTTGTGTGTAGGACAAAAAGTAAAGAGAACAAGACAGAGTTAGGTTAGACTTCAGGGAAAACTGGTGGGATATTACAGAGCCTTTAACTGGAGAGATTTAAGGACCATTTGGAACAATATTAGCAGTTATAGTTGATCAAACCTCTTTGTTGGGAGGAAAATGGATGCAATGACCTCCACGCTCCACACAAGTTTGACTACCCATAAAACCCTCCAATCAGTTTGGGTACTGGAGATGGAGGCAATGCAGCCACCTAACAAAACATTTCAACACCTGAAGTGCTCCAGGCACCTCGCACTACTCCTCGGTCTCTCTAGAGATCTGCAGGCTGGCAGCCCTCCTTGAGTGGCAGCTGCTGCAGCCAACCCCCTTGGGGATATTTGCACTCTCAT